CTTGCCGGCGAGCCACGCGAGCGAATCGGAGCCACTCCGGAGCAGCCGCTGCCTAGTGTCTAAACGTACCCCCTTGGTGCATCCCCTTCCCCGCCGCCCACCATGCCCATGGAGCTGACGCAGAGCCGGATCCAGAAGATTTGGCTGCCCAGCGACCACCGCCCCGCGCCGCCCCGCCGAGGTGAGTCGGGCGCTCGGCGCTGCACGTGGCGCGGGGCCGGCGCCGAAACCCCGCTCTCCGCCCCGCGCTCCCACCCGGGAGGATGGGGATGGCTGCTCCCTTCATGTTTTGGGGGGGCAGCCCGGGGTGGTAGGGGGCGGGGAGGAGCCCATACAAACAAGCAGCTGTGGGGAGGTTTGTCTCTGCTGCTTTCGGGAAGAGGAGGCGAGGGGGGGGATGGAGGGGCTGAGCTCCTTGAGGCCCCTTTGCATCCTCGTGGGTGGTGATGCTCGTGGGGCGCACGTTTGCTGCTTCCTCCATCAGTGATGCTGCCCCAGCAGCCGGCTAGGGAAAACCCCAGGCATGCACTGTGCTGCTTCCTTGGTGATTAGACAGAAAGAGAAAGAAGAGAAGCTGTGTGTGTGTGTGTGTGTATGTGTAAAAGGACACCGATTCTGTTGGTGGAAGTAGAGATTTCAAGCTATGCAAGCCTGGCTGGCGAGGAGAGGAAGCCAGACCCTCTGGCTTTGGCAGGGACGGTTGGATCCTCGGGGGTTTGATCCTGTGATGCCGGGGGTGTAATGCAAGCTGAATAGGAAATGGCTATCAGCAGCAAGGCTGGACATCTGGTAGCTGGTCTCCGGTCCTGGAGAAGCTAGCTACCTCGCCCGTAGGATGTGCCGTTCACGTGTTCAGGTTTGAGCCTGTTACTCCAGCATCTGCAGAGATCCTCGCAGGAGGGAGATGCAGCTTCTTGCCGGAGAGAGAAGGGACTTAGTTCTGGTTGATGGAGATTTCGGTGAAGGTGCTAGGGAATAGGATGATGCATCTAGTAGTCCTTTTCCCCTAGCCTAGGACAGGTCCCATCCTGGTGGGATGCAGTGGTTCGATTTTTATGCAGCTCGGCCTCAAGGGCTTGTTGGGTTTTTTTTTTTTTTTTCCTTATTTGCAACTGTTTGGGTTAAATGAAACAAAGGGCACCAACAAAACTGGTCCAGGCTGCAGGGCAAACCTGAACGACAGCAGGGATTTTTTTTGGATGCAAACAGAAAAAAATCCTGGGGTGGGTGGGTGGGTGGGTGAAGGGGGGTGAGGTGGGAGTGAGAGTGTCTTATTTAAGTATAAATCAAAAAGGCTTCCCTGGCTGGTGGCTCCAATGCTGTGTTGGTGCCTGTGAAACAATTAGTCTAATTGTCTGACTTCTCATCACGAGCCTCTGAATGGATGCAAAGTGATGCCTTCATCTGGGCTGTGCCTGGCGATCCATTCAATTTCTGTCAAGTTGCACGTCTCTCACGTAGGGTCTGTGAAGTCAAGTTATTCCAGCCAGTTAAATGGGCAGAGCCATTTGCTGGGGGAGGGGGCGTGGGGAATGCAGGAGCATGAATGGCTGGTACCTTCCTTCTCGCCTCCACTCTCATAGGGGATGCCAGTGCCTGCACATGCGTGTGAGCTCTGTGCTCTCTGGATCTGAGCACGGCTTGGGGGTCTGCCTTCCCCGAGTATGAGCATACAGCGTATACCTGCACGCATAGACATGGAAATTCTTGGCAGTATCATTCTGTGGTTGCATAAAGATGATGGGTGCATAGGCAGACGTGCATTATCTGGTTTTTAAAAAGAATATGGGTGAGGCATCATGATCAGCACTATAGGAATGCCTGGGAAAAGGTGCCTTAGATGCGGCGTTTTTATGCTCTTTCCTATCCCAGTGACAGTTTTGTACACGGCGTTTTTATCCTCTTTCCTTTCCCAGTGCCAGTTTTTGGATGCTGGGGCTGCAGCTGCCTTCTCATCTAAGGAAGCATTGCCTTTCTTCCCCACCCCGCGGTGGATACCGCAACACATCGGAACATGCTTATACTGGCTTCTGCCTATTAGAAGGCATCTATAATAAATTGCTTCCAAAGATGCTGGCTGCATCTTCTAAAGGCAGCACGTGCCTTGGTTACAGTGCGCTCCTTTGTCTTATTTTATAACGGCAGCTTTCCTGGTTTGCTCTTTGGAGCCCCTTGGAGACAGCGTGTTGGCTTCAGGGTCTCAGTGAAGAAGGTGACCAATTCCTTGCCGGTGCTTCTCTTTAGGGAGCCCTCGTGATCAGCCCTGAAGTTGTGGCGTGCATTGTTAAACAGATCCCTACCCCCTACCGAGGCCAGCTGATGAAAAGACCCAGGTGCCCGAGACAGAGGGAGCTGCTTGCTGGCTCAGTACCCTCTCAGGATGGGACCCTGTGGATGTACGGCTTTGTGTGAGCAGCGCTCGTAGCATCTGATTGAATGAACTGAGTGGAGCGTAAGGAGAAGGGAGTATTTAGAGCAAGCCCTCGGATGCCCTTCCCTTTGAGGCATCTATTTATTCTTGAATGTTGAGCGCTCTTGGCAGATCCTTCCTGGCTCAGTGCATGGGACCCTTTGTCTGGCATGGGGGAGGGGAGCAAATTAAGTTTCTTCTCTTCACCTCTGACCCTCCCGGGCTGGGGGTTAGAAGTCTGCAGTGCTGATGTGAGCAAAAGGCGGGGAACTCCCGAAACGTTGCATCATGCTCCAAGATGAGCGAGCCCTGAAATGAGCCATCCTTGGTTAGTAACGTGGCAACTTTGTGATCCACAGGGAAGCATTAAAGGAGAGCGTCTCCAGTGCCAGGCAGAGTCTAGAGATGTGGGGATTCAGGGGAGCAAGGCTGATTGGATTCTCCCGTTCATTATCCTTCCTTGCTTTATCCTTTGTTTGGATTGTTTCCATCTGCTGCTGCTATTTTCTTCTTCTTCTTCTTTCTATACCCATTACTTTTGCCCTGCATTGTGTTACACAAGGGAGAAGAAAGTTGGTGCGATACTGAAAAATTATTTATTCTTAAGCCATCCAGAGACCATATAGCATCAGTCATTTTGGAATAAGTGCCTGGTCCCAAATACCACTGAGGTTGACGGGAATTGGACTGAGCCTTGAAGTGTGGGGAGACTCAGGGTGGAGAGGAAATATCCTTAAAGAGCTCGTTTATAAAAGGGATCTGTCAATAAGTTGCCTATATAGATGGTACAGAACACCAGTATTTTTAAGGCTGGTTTTATGCTTGATGTGAAGGCTAAGAGGTTGGGCACGTTTGAAGCCGCCGTTCGGGTCACTACAAAGCATTGCTGGCATAGCTATGTCTGTCGGAGGGGTGTCCGGCCCACATCGCTATGTCGGCAAAACCCCTTGTGTGGCCACAGCGATGCTGACAGAAGAGGGCTTTTGTCTGTCGTCGTGTGTGGTGGTCTAGCTAAGCAAGCAGAAAAAAAAAATCTCCTACTGCTGACACACGGCATCTTCACTAGGGGGCTCTTTCGATGGAGCTGGGCCAGCACGGCTATCGTGGCAGATGCCACGGTGCGGAGGGCAGTATAAACAGAAGCACGTGCAGCTATGGCTGTGAGCAGCGTAGTAGCCTAGAAACTTTCCAGCTTATTTAGATTCCTGATTGGACCAGATCTTTGCCTTCAAGACATGCCTGGGGCAGAGGTGGAGAGGGCTAAGAACTGGGACCTGATTCATAGATGTTAGGGGCTGGAAGGGACCTTACAAGATCATCGAGTCCAGCCCCCCTGCACTGGGGCAGGAAAGACCGCTGGGATCAGATGGCCCCAGCCAGGTGGGCATCAGGACACTTTTTGAAGATCGCCAGGGTGGTTGACTCTTTCTTCACTACTCATTGGCGATGTAATTGGGTTGAATGAAATAGGGGCTGGCATTTAAACAGTTAACCTGTCCTTGTACCCGGCTGCACTCTAATGTAAGAATTGAGGATCAGTCCCTTGACACCGGATACGCTAAAAATGACCCGCTCCACAATAGATGCCTTGTGTGTGGTCAGTGGAAGAGGAAGGGACCGTCATCACTCTTTAATATCCATTTTTAAACAACCTCACCCACACTGGAAGGGGGTGGCCTTATTTCTGGCCCTTTTCAAGGCTCAGTGGCATTTCTGTGCTAGTCCTTGATGGAAAGCAGGTAACTCCTGCTTGCAGAGCTCTTTGGGAAGGGCCTTTTTCAGGGCTTTGGAAATGTTTACATGCCTGCATCTAAGCACACATGCATGGCACACTGCACACACATGCATTCACATACACACAGATGCCTCATCATATACACACATGCATGCATCTAAGCACACGCATACACCCGTACATCTCAGACATAGCTGTCCCACTTTGTCCTCCCTACTCTCCCATCAAATCAGCATGCTATTTGTGACTCTTGAGTGCAGACGGACAGGGCTGCAGCCAGCAGGGAGGTGCTGCAGGTCTGGGTGGAGATGCACTTGCAGAGTGGCAGGAGGGGGAGTGAGGATGGTGCCCTGTGCCTGGCTCTAACTTGTGCTGCCTCTTTGCCGTGCATTACTAAGCACTTGTGGTTTCATGCTGAGGCACTAAGGATTGCCCTCCCTGTCACCAGGCTAACCTAGGTGCCCTGTTCCCCAGCACCTGGTTGTGAGAAGAACATGGGAATCGGGTGGGAGCTGAGGATGAATGAGCCAAGTCACGTACGCCAGCAGGGCAGGCGAGGTTTAGCTCAGCCTCAGCTGACTGCCAGCTGATCCTCCAAGGCAAGCCCAAATGCCCTTGGGTATGCGCTGTGCCATCTTGGCACTGGCAGCAGCCGACAGCTCTGCTTGGGCACCTCTCAGTCCTGATCACTTGGTCTGAGAATCGGAGACGGTGCTATGCGGTCTCATTTTTCCTGGTACCTTTTTGAATCTCCGTGAATCGCTGTCTTGTATTTAAGACAATCTGGGTTACCAAAAGGTTGCGTGGGGGCAGGGAGGCCCATTCACGGTCCAGAGACCTGAGGAAAGATGTTAAATTCCTTGAAACGTGTCTTTGACGTTTCCAGCAACCCACACGTTGGGACCCGATTCTAGTAGTTTGCTCTCCTCTGGCTCGTTATTGAATTAGCCCTGGGGCATATTTGGGATGGGGATAATATAACCTCCCCTGTGATTGAGGAAACTGAGGCACAGAGGGGCAGTAGCTTGCCTGAGGTCAGAAGGAGTTTGGGGCACAGCAGGCAGTAGGACCCCAACTCCTAATCTTGCATGGTCTCACCTGCTCCCTGCCCTGCATGTCTGTGCCTAGGGGAAGGCGAGCACATGCATGATCAGCCACTTCTCAGCACCCGCGGGTAGTGGAGGCGATGCATAGGTGGGCCTAGCTCGGTTTCCTTTGGCTGGTGCATTGTGCTCAGTTACTAAGTGACCAAAGACCACAAAGCCGTCTGCCTGCCGTGGCCCCTGCTCTCGGACGCGTTCATTCAGCAGCTCTCATTGCAAAAAGTGAATCAGCAGATTTGCAGCTGGAGGCTTTCATGACTAATGCCAGTTGTCTGAGCCGAGCAGGGGAGCCAGGGGAAGATGGGGCATCAGGAACGGAGGTATTCAGTTTCCTCCGCCTGCTGAAGGACCGAGGGAACGTTGCATGCTCAATTTATGAACCCTGGCAGGTCCGAAGCAAAACAAGCTCAGGGATCCATGGTTTATTTTATGATTAATTTTTTTTTCCCTCTTTCCTCTTTGTAGCATGTGGGCCGCAGCTAACAAATTCCCCCACGGTGATCGTTATGGTTGGCCTTCCTGCTCGTGGGAAGACTTACATCTCGAAGAAGCTGACACGCTACCTCAATTGGATCGGTGTCCCAACAAAAGGTGAGGCCAAGGGTGACTGTTCCTGCCCTAACGGTGCATAGCCTGCAAAATGCATGTGTGGAGATAAATGCCCCAGGGCTTTGTGGCTTGTGGTGTCTCTCGCACCCGGCTCTCTGGAGAAGGAGCGGTTCTTGTCAGAACTGCGATGGCGGGGTAGCCCGCACCGTTTACATACCTCCTGACCCTTCCACCTATGAGTGATTATGCGTTCTCCTTGAGGAGACCACGGTCACCTAACCTGCTTTCAGTGGAACCACTGGCTGCT